TGGTTAGAGCGTCAAACAAAAAGTTAAAACCCGGACTGTTTTACCAACTCAGCGCTAACTCAGCGCTTGAGTAGTATCTCGGTACGCAGAAATGTTGGTCAATAACGGACGCTACTTTAGATTAGTCTAAATGACTATATATCGCTGTTCCTTTGCTAAGCCGACAATATCTTCGGATAAAACATTGTATAGAAAAATATGGCATGAAAATTCAAATAATTAAAAAAAAAAAATAATAATAATAATAATAAAAGTTAATGGGATAAAGTTGTACAACAAGTTGCTAAATAAATGAAGGGATTTAATTTTTTCAATTAAAGAAACAAAATTATTTCAGTAAACCTTCCTTTAAATGTAATAAAAAAAAACCTATAGATCAATTAAAGCTAGATATATCAGCCTAATTATTCTATTTCTATATATTTATAATAATAAAAACCTTTTGCACATTTTTTTTCCACATAAAAAAATAGTCTAATGCAGAAACCGGCACATAGTTTTGACTGTGCTTACTAATAATAGTAAAACGGGGGAATTCTATAAATCATCAGTTAGAAAACAAAAAACCCACCCTAATTAAACATAAGAAATATTTTTTAAAATACATACACATTATTAATAAATAGTTGGAGAAACTACTTTCATGCGAAGACGGATGAATTATCTTATTTAACTGGTATTTTAACAAAGTTGGATCATTTAAAAATAAATAACTTTTTCAAATCATATGAAAAATGTCGTCTTTACTTAAATAAATGTTCTACATTCTTTTCTTAAAAAAAATATACCAAAATATGTATTTAAAGTTGTAATTTTCATGAGTGGGTTTTCATTCTTCGACACCTACTCGTAATACCTTAATCGTTTTTTGCATTTTTCGGACGAAGTTTTTCAAAGACAAACTACTTTTTTTTCCGTAATAAAAAGTCACGTGCTTAAACTCCCTAACATATGATTTAAATACTTACCAATTCAAAAAACAAGAACAGCTGTACATAAAAAATACATATGATGTGTATCAATGATACACATCATATGTATTTTTATAAAAATAAACAAAGTTTTGATTTGTGTTCTTAGTTTTGATTTGTGTACTTAGCTTTGTGTTCAAAAGCCAAAAGCGCCCCGACAATTCGGCTACCCAACAAAAGCGCTCCATATAATAAAAATGTGATACTTTTGAGTTTTTGTTGATGTTTTTTTTTCATGTTTATGTTTTTTATTCATAATAATCTTTAAAGTTCGACTTAACGTTGGCGCCCCATCCGAGTCCCCAAGCAATAATTAATATGCTTAACACTTTCGCCTACCCTGAATAAAACTTCCCATGAGGCGGTGCTCCATGATAAAACCATAAAGTCTTTAAGTGTCTCTTTAGAAAATAAAATCAAAACTAATAAAATCCAGCATGATTTTCTTTGGATTTATTAATAAATGTAAAATGTGGTGTCCCACAGGGATCCATAGTTGAGCCCTTATTATTTTTAATATATATAAATGACCTTAACAAAGTCTTTTACGTAATCACTATAATTTTTGCTAATGACACAAACCTGTTTCAATCTCATAAAAACATAAGTACACTTTTGATAATATGACACAAGAATTAAATAAAATCTCATATTGGTTTAAGAAAAACAAATTGTCCCTCAATGTTGATAAAAGAAAATGGACACTTTTTTACCCAATATCCAGAAAAAAATGATTACCAAATACATTGCCCGACCTCTTCATTGATAATACAATATTAAAAAGGGAAAAAGTTACAAACCTTTTCGAAGTTCTTGTAGACGAAAACTTATCCTAGAAACAACAAATCTGTAATATCTCCATGAAAGTCGACGTACGTTAAATAAACAACAATTAAAACAACTATATTATTTGTTTATCTACTGGCATTTAAATTATGCAAATATTGTATGGGGAAGCTAAACTTAAAAAACTAAACTTAAATCTCTTTATTAGCAGCCCGTTTAATTAATTTTGTAAATCGTTTTTCAAATTCAAAACAACTTCTGAGAGAAATTAAGCCTTTAATGTATACAAACTAAATGTTTATAATATTTTATAGATCATGTTTAAATGTAAAAATCATTTATCTCCTGATGTATTTATAAACCTTTATAATGTAAAATCCATAAACAAATACAATTTTCGCAATCGAAAAAATCTATAAGAACCTCTGCAAAAATAAATTTGAATTATTTTGTCAGAAAGGTTCTAGTTACTAAAACTAATTATTTCTTATCTCGGTCCTTATTTATGGAATAAAACAGTTTTGTCAAATTTTCATTTGTCTTTGAAATGGACTTTAAGTTCTTTCAAACAAAAAATAAAAGAAGTTATCTTTCCAGACGAAAATATTTTTTCTTGTTTTTAGTTCTTTTGTTTCATATATTTCATATAATTTATCCAGTATATTTATATCTTAAATGCACAGTTATATATATAGTTTATGTTGGTTTATTTTTATTGGTTAATTTGGTTTTATTGTTATTATTATTACATTTGTTATTGTAAAGGTCTTTATGACAAGATCGTATGATCTTCTGTAAGTCCTGCCTGTTATATTTGTAATAAAGCTATTCTGTAATTGTATTTTCTTTTATTGAAGGCAAATAAATTTACAAACAAAACAAAAAATAGCAGCGTCCCTTGTTAACAAAAATCTTATTCTTTTTTTTCCTCGCATAATATATGCCTTATTTTACTCTGAACATTTACTAAGGTGTATCTGGTATGACTTTAGCGGTCTAAATATCATATTTTGAAGTAGTACTTGCCTCAGAAACAAAGGATTCGAGATTTAAACCCCACCTCTGGGCAAGTTTTGCGACATTGGTTAAAAAGCAGGCATAAACTTCTAATTAAATGCTCATTCACGGTGCTCTGCGATAAGACTGTAAGGGCTTCTTGGGGCATCTAAATATAAATTAAAAAAATTAAAAAAAGTCACAAACAAATAAATCAGACAAATAAATGATAATATGTAAAATGATAATGCTAATAAGATAAATTGTAAATAATGCTGATAAGATGTAAAAGTTTTTGTTGTTGTAACAGTAGTTGATAGTTTTATACTACGTATTATTTACAAAAATTTACCAAAAACTGTATTTGTTGGCGGGAAACCATAGAAATGAGTGTACATACAGCTATTATTCAATTTAATAAGGGGTGGAAAGAAATACTGAAAGTTTTAGAACACTTTGGTTTAAAAGGACAAATTTCAAAGGCGGTGGCAACAATGTTAGATAATTCGCGCCTTAAGCGCGAATTATGGATAAAAAGTTGATAAATGCAGAGAAAAAGCGTAGAAAAGGGTTGCGGGCCAGAAAAAAAGGAATTTTTGATAAAATGAGTGAAAAAGAATCAGTAGATTCATATCAAACTGGTTCTTAATCAGGAGATTTTTAAACATTTTATTTTTGTTTCGCATTTTTCTCTTTTTTTAATTTTTTGTATACTTGCTACAACTCAAAACATGATAACTCGAGAGAATTGAACATTTGAATTGAAATTTTAAATTTGTGTAATTAAATACTCCGGATGAATTTGTATAATCTAATACACCAAAAGACCCTTGGATTTTACATGAAACTCCTAATATTTAAAAAAATAAATTCAGTTTAGGTGCAAATTTTTATCACTTGTTGAAAATATTTTTAATGCAAACTATTTCTCCTGTTTTAACAGTTTTAATAAAATAAAAAGTCATTTTGCATCCCTACCACTTTAAGTGTGTTCATTCAGTATGGAAAATAACTGTTTAGCTTATAGGGCTTTTTGTTTTGACTTGCACGCTTCTGGAACTTTTTAGTAATTGTTTTTTTGAGATTAGTTTATATTCTTTTTTTTTTTGAGTTTTTTTCAGATAAGCATTTTTTTAACTTTGATTTAAAAAAAATTAAAATCTGTTTTGTCTAGTTTATTAAATTTTCAAGATTCTTTCTTTGCATAAAAGTTTATGTTTTGAACTAAAATAAACTGTAAAACAAAAAACTATTGAACTGAAAAAAACTATGAAGCAAAAAATTGTGAATTTTTTTTTGTTTTACTTATTTTATACTTTTTTTTTAAGGATAGAGGGGGGAGGGATTACCCAAATTATTGTAATTGAGCAAATTAAAGTTATACTTTTGGTTTACTATCTTTTTTATTATTATTATTATGTTTTTATTAGTTCACAACATGAATTGCACCATCATTGATTAGTTTGCAAAGTTTGATGCAAATATTTTTTTTCAATTTTTAATTGCATCAAAAAATCTGCATAAATTGAGTATTTACCTAATTATTTTCAAGAATAATTATGAAATAGTTTTTTCAAGTATGTAACACTTTAATAATTTACTTTCTTCGTAAAAAAAAAAAAAAAAAAAATTGAACTTAATAATACTAAACTTATTTTTTTATAAACTAATTATCAACTCATTATGCTAAATAACTTTTTTATAATTTAACACTTACGTTATCACATATTTTGGGAAACTATATTTGCGAACCTCTTAAAAAAACACTGGATTTATATGAACATGCTCGTGTTTCCTTTTAACTAGTGCAAAGCTCCAACTACTACGTTGCAGGTGCTTAACATAAAAATGGTATGACTAAACCACTACATATGCTGTGCATCTAAACAGCAGAGATTTAACAAAGCAAAGGGAAGGCGCACCCATATACTTATTTTAACATTATACTAGATATTTTTTTAAACAAAACTAAACACCTCACTTAAAAAAACGTTTTTAAGAATTCAAATATGTTTTTATTATTTTTTATGAGCCAGGTGATCGATAAAAAATAATATTGTAATAAAGATATTATCAATCAAGCGCATTAGACGTATATATATATATATATATATATATATATATATATATATATATATATATATATATATATATATATATATATATATATATATATATATATATATATATATATATATATATATATATATTTAATTTCGCATTTGTTTACATAAAAAGACTTGCTAATTTCAATATTTAAGTCAAATGTCTTTTAATCTTAATATCAACAAGATTTATTTACAAAAGTATTTTCACCGAAGGAATTATTTTACATTGCTACCAAGGGATTATTTTACATGGTTACTAACAACTATTAAATCGTCATTTGGAAATTTGAGTAACTCAGTCATTTCAAAAAGTTGCAGCAACATCGCAATCAGTGAAGATTGATTCAGTATTTACTTTTCTTTATTTTAAACAAAGTGCATTCATGCGATTACTCTTTAATTTCAAAGATAATTCATATTTCTCTAATTATCGGGGGTCTGGACTCAGACCTCTAATTGTCGGGTGTCTATTTTCAAAGCCTATTTTTTCAGATGTCTGTAGTCAACCACTAAATTCTAAGCGGATTTAATATACACACCAAAGATCATTAAGAACATCACCTAAAAATACAAATAAATAACAAAACAAAACAAAAAAAATATCATAAAACCAAATGAATGTTTTTACCAAAACATTGACGCAAGAAGACCAAACAAAACCCCGCAATAACCTAACACAATAAATAAAAAACAACAACAACTAAATACTACAACCACATTTCAAAAATGCAATCCAACACAATTGTAATTTAACAAATTGAACAGACTTACAGCCTCACATATTTATATTGAGCTTGAAACTTTGTATTGCAACATTTCTATCGTATTTTTTCTCTTATTCACGACACTTTGCTCTGACGTTACTTTTAACATCAACTTTCGATGGAGATTTATTGTACTACAACGTACCATAGTTGGGGTCGGAAGATCAGATATTGTGCTCCAAATATCTTCATCAATTGAATACACATCAACTGTGCTTACAGGGAACTGAACGCTCCAACCGCCACAAACAAACAAACGTCTAAAAATATAAAAATATTTTTTATTTTTTTGACTCATTGCATAACGATGTTTCAAAAATTAATAACCAACACAAAACAAAAGAACACTAAATTGAAGCCTAAAAAAATAACCTTTTCCGTAAAGTATTTTTGGAATTTTTTTGTTTCTTTAAATAAATATAGTACAAACCCATTAATTGCAGATGCACCACCGTAATGACGTGGTTTTGGTAGAGGAGCAACACTTAACCATTTCATTTGATCCAAGTCTAAAACTTCAACAGATTTATGAAAATGGTCGTCATAATAACCTCCAATGACGTAGATCTTTGCGTCATAATAAGCGCACATTGCATTTTGTCGTTTCTCCTGCAATTGAGGTATCTCTAGTCAAAAAATAATTATAAAAAACGCATTATAAAAAACAAAGCAGTTAAAAAAAGTGACGCAAAAAAGTTGAAAAGTAATTATTAATAGTCTTTTTACTTTCATCGTTCCATAATTTTGTTTCTGGATCGTAAAAGTCTGTTGAAGTCAAATAACGAGACCCATCATAACCCCCAATCGAGTACAAGCATTCCCCATCAGACACATCACAAGCTCCATCACGAGGGCTATTCATATCCTGAATATTTGTCCATGTGTCTGTCTTAATATCGTAAACTTCAACTTTCCTATAATAAAATTATATCTATAAATATATGTATGTATGTATGTATGTATGTATGTATGTATGTATGTATGTATATATATATATATATACATATATATATACATATATATATATATATATATATATATATATATATATATATATATATATATATATATATATATATATATATATATATATATATAAATATATATATATATATATATATATATATATATATATATATATATATATATATATATATATATATATATATATATATATATATATATATATATATATATATACATATCTAGCACAATTGTTTCAGACAAGTTTTGAATCTTATTGTTTTTTCCCAAGATCCTTCACATATATGTATATATACAAAGTTTAAGATAATAAAAGTTCCAAAAATGAAAATAAATTTTAGAGATATATAAAACTTTAAGTAACTATCTAAAGTTACCAAGGATAATTACCTTAATGGTAAATTCCCATCATATCCTCTTAAAAGATAATTACCTTAGTGGTAAATTCCCATCATATCCTCCAATCGCATATAACTTTCCGCGTAGTTCTACGAGACCAAAATTGCTTCGAGGTGTGTTCATGTCTGAGATAGTAGACCAAGTGCAGCTCTCAATGCTAAAACATTCTCCAGATGATTTACGCTTCCATTCTGAACTACCACCAACCACATATATGCTTGAACCTAAAACAGCTAAACCTGGGCAATGACGCGGGGTACATTTTCCTAGCTCAGTCCAATGGTCAACTTCAAAATTATATATGTTTAAAGTAGGTCCACCTAAAGCAACAATGCTTGTTACAAATTGTTCGCATTTTCGTGCTGACATCCAAGGTTCTGGAAACACTCCACCAATGTTTTCAGGAAAGCAGTCATCATTGAAACTACGGCTTAATATCAATTCAATTGCAGAATCAAGCAAAGAAAATATATTTGAGTTATCAACACTAACACTCTCTTTACATTTTTTCAACAATTCTATGCTGACAAAAGGTAAATGGATGACTTTTAAAATGTTTTTGAAATCATCAGATCGTTGATGTGAATCATAATTAAACCAAGTTAAAGCAGCATTGAATATAGTATCTTCATTTGGTACCGAAATTTCTTCACATGAAAGTATATCTATAAGAGCACTAGCGTCAAGAAGCTGAAAATCAGGATGAGAGCATAATTCTGAAAAGTGAGATGTAATTAGTTCAAAAGTTTTGGTCTGTAAAGTTGACAGTGAAAATTGCTTACTAAGACTAAATATTCTGAGACAGTTTTCCTCATCAATGCGATCACGGAGAAACTTTCCGCATCGTTCTTTTAAGCTCTCCAAAAGCATAAGGGCGGAAGCTTCTAAAATGTCCTGGACATTTTCTTCTGATATTTCTATACTACCACAATAAATGTATGACAAAATGGATTCCATTGTATTTGCTGATACTCCGTGAATACGAATATGTTTTTCATTAGTTGACAATGATCCACTAAACATTGAAAAAAAGTAATCACCACTTGTAGCAAGAATAATCCTGTGAGCTGGAAACATTTGATCATCAACTAAAAGTACAACATCTGTTAAAATATTTTGCTTTCGAAGATGATTGGTTCTTTGGGAAAGTTTCTTGCTAAAAGAATCATCATAAAACAACTCATCCGTTGTTTCAACAACCGCAAGTTTTGTGCGAATTCTCCTCATTTCGTATTTCCAATCTCTAAATAAGAAAATTTTTTTTAATGTCCTAAAGTTTTACAGCTAATCTGAATATTCGGGAAAAAAATTGTATTCCTGGCAACCTAATTAGGCAACTTTACCTGTTACAAATTATTAAAATAAATAATTTATAACAGATATTGTTGCCAATCTTATATAAATTTAATTTCTACAGTGTTTAGCACTTGGTACATTTCATGTTAAAAAAGACTTTTATTTGAAAATCATTTTTAAATAAAAGTAAATAAAAAATAATTTTCTCAGCTTTCATACTTAATAGCTCTAATATTTTTTAAATACAATGAAAAGTTAAATAAAATGTGCAAACAAAACTGTCTAATATAAAAATAACTACTGAGATTATTGACAATAGGCAAATTTGTATCTTTATTAGTAATAAAAAAAGTTTTTAGTTATATATAAATGTATAGATATAAATAATTTTACTATTATCAGCAAGTTTATATATTTTAAGTTAGAGTCGATTTACACAGAAAATTGTTTTTTTAGTTTTGAAATTAAAACCAGGAGAGGAGGGAGGATGGAGGGTGGGGAAAGGTTTTTTTATAAGTTTGATGTGGGTAGAAATAGTTTTTAGAAAATCAATAAACATCCCCTTCTGTGTATTAAACACCTGAGAGTAAAAAAAAGGTTTTAAAATTTTTTGCTCTTGAATTACTCATTTTTTTATTGGTTACCGACATTGTACCTACCGACATTGTACCTACCTGATACAACATCCCTTGATTTTTATGATTTATCAGACGCTAAAAAAATTAATTTTGTGAAAGGTGATGCTGTTATTATCTATTTATTCATGCCATAAACAAATACCAAGAATAAACATAAATCAATACAATAAATAAACCTATCAGATGACTTAAAAACATATTAGATAAATATAATATATTTAAGTAAACAATATATAAAACATAAGACTACATTGGATAACAACTAAATATAGCAAATATTACATATTTACACATAACATAAATATATAATATTTGTTATACTTATTTATTATGCTAAATTAATACATTATATAAACATATTAGATATTAGCAAAATAAATAAATACAGAAGTTTCATTTTGGGATTGATATTGCCCAATTTCAAGGCAATTTAATTGAAATATGAATGTAAGATAATGATAGAATAATGCTTAAAGACTAAGAAAAATTATAATAGCAATGCTTCAAAATTAGTAACTGCAAGACAGCAAATTTAAATTATGCAAAATAAATTATTTAATTGATAAACTATTTCATAATTTTGAATTAAAAATGTGAAAGTTCAGAAAGAAACAGAAACTTCTTGTTAAAAAGCTAAACAAACTTAGCATTTAGCTACAAGTTTATAGGATTCAGGACAATAAAATATAGTGAAAACAAGAAACATTTCTATACCAAAATCCAACAAACATTTTTGACACACTAGACAAGATTTTCAAATATTTTCTTTATTATTTTCCTTTGTTGTAATTAATTTTTATTTGAATTTTCAAAAAATTAAAATAATAATTTGCAGTTTAAACATAACAAAATAAAATTATTTCAAGCCAACATTATTTTTAAAATTATTTTAAGACAACATTATTTTAATTTTTACATAAAATGCTGAAGCTTTTAAATTAGTATTTTATTATTGTAGTTAATGTCTACTGTGTGCGTAGAGCAGAAATTGAAAAATTATTGTCAGCTCTTCTGTTTGTTTTTTAAGATTAGTTGTTTTTGTAGATTTTTGTTCGTTTAAAAAAAAAAGAATTATTTTAATTCTGATACAATTATTATTACATTTAATGATACTATTATTTATACACTTATATTTTAAGTGATATTATTATTACTTTTAATGTTTGGTGTCACTATTTTGATCAAACTACTCTTTGAGTAACACCCTCATTAACAGTCATTTTCTAATACACTAAAAGTTTCTCTCTACAGTTTCACGAGGAAAGGTGAAAAAACTAATAATTATTGGAGCTCCAAAAAATCTTTCATGCAGCTATGATTTATCTACAAAATCATAGCTGTATGAAAAATAACACATTGTATAATAGCCAATATCGTCGTTTTACAAAATCGTGTTTTGATTTTAATAAGCGCAGCCTCGTTTTCATTATTTGTTTATAAAAGTCGATTAAATTCCAATCTTACGTCATTGTAAAATTGGAGGTGCGCCTAAAGGTGCGTTTTATCTTAAAACATTGGGTGACAATTAATACTGTTTTTTACGTAGAAGAGCGAGACGTAAAACGTACCTAAAATTAAAATTTTTATCGCGTTCTCCTACGTGAACAAACAAACTTTTATACTTTTATATAAAAATTAAATAAAAATGTCAACATCGACTCAACGTGTAACAAAACAAAAAGGCTTTGTAAAAGACTTTAGCTAACTTCAATTTTATATAATAATTTGTAAGACATTTTTAAAATGTTTTATAATTTTAATGTGATTAATTTTTGTGTATGCATTGATTTCGGCGTTAAACCACGATTTTCTTTTGTCGAATATAACCAACTAGATATTTTAAAAACAAAGTTAAACTAAATTTGAATAAATATAAAAGTATTTTTATGGTGCTTATTATTATTTTCATGAAACAAAAATTTGTAAAAGCAGAAAAATGACATCGAGAAATTAAAGTATCAGCTAGAAAAACTATAAAATACATATACTGAACAAAAACATCAAAATATATATATATATATATTATTTTGATGTTTAAGTTTTAATTATAATTATAACATAAAATGAATTATAAATTGATTAAAACCTATCATTAGGTTTTAATATTTTCTTACTTAAAGCATCGTGTTACGTGTTCCCTCATATCGTTGAAATGATTAAATTTTGTGACGTTCTTCTTGTTGATGTTATAATTTATCTCTGTATTATAGAAGCTTCAATTTATCTCCGCATGAACATCTGAAGTAAAGTATCCATTTATTTGAAAATTTATTTTATCATTTACCTTATTAATATGTACTGTTAAAGTACTTGTTCGAAGAAAAAACTTTGTAATAAATGCAGCAAAATTGTTTGGATTGCACTCTACTATTTAAACTTTATAAACCATTTAAATCGGTTATTATTGTTTGAATTTCAATGAACGGGAGATTTTCGTTTTGATTAAATCAATTCTTGATTACCCGTCTAGCAAAAAATAAACTTTTGATTAAGGAAAAAAAAATTTTGACTCATCGATAAAACGAAACATTTTTTTCTTTTTGCTTTTAACGATCTTTATTAACATTAACAACTTTAAATTTTTATTTAGCAAATCAATTAACAAAAAGAAAACATTAAAAGGTATTGTAATAGAAAGCAATAAAAAAGAAGCCATGCTTTAGCTAACATTTTATTTAGTAGAAATATGTGGCTAAAATCAAAATAAGTAACTATATTACAAAAAATTTATTAAATTGCATATAAAATTGATAAAACTTAATAATATGAAATACTTTAAATTATTTTTTTTAAAAAACAAAATTTTTTGTTTTTAATTCAACTGAAATAATAACAACAATATTTACTAAATTGGGAAATTATTAAATCCGAATATTAGTATTTCCAGCCGACGCATCTAGTTTCACTTTCGGAATTAAAATCCGTTTAGTCACGTGTTCGTCGCGATTCAGGAATAAACCCAAAACACGTTGATTTCAGGAGTTTTACTCGAGTTCAACACGTGTTTTATAAGGTTTATGAGTCAAATTCAAATATATCGTACTTTTATTACTGATTTCACATTTGTTATGGAAACTTAGTATGTATTAAACGACGTTTTTGTGACGGTAAAACCATTAATAAAAACTTAATATCCTAACTGAACGTGTTATTTCAGAAACACCATAAGTCATTTTTAGATAAATGTAAGTCATGGATGATATCGCGTTATCTGAAGGTAGATACATGTGTCTTTGAGAAATCGCATTGGTCAGACCTTTCAATGAACACCTTATAAAGTGTTGACTGAAAGGTCTTTACATAACTAAAAACCTAAGCAATTGAGCAAAATTGCTTAGGTTTTTATTCATGTAAAGCTGACCAGTTACTGAGTAAAAGTAATAGCATTTTTTTATTCACTCGGCCTATTTTCACATAATTTAAACTCTAATCTTGAAACGTATTCTTATTTTAGAAGTTTTTAAAAACACAACAGAAACCACGCGTTCCTGCTGTGTGTTTAAAAAACAACTTTTTACAGATTCGTAGCAACTTGGTTATTTCAACGTTATTTTTCAAAATTTATAATTTAAATTTTAATTTTTGAAAGTAACGCTAATTTCATTTTATGCCAAAGTAATTGCTGATACTTTGGCATAAAATGAAATTCTATAATTAATTTGAAAGATGCATTTTAAACATATTTCTCTATATAACCTGAACTTATACATAAATATCTTTCTCAGATCTCTGATAATAGTTTGATGTTAATGCAAAAGTTATGTAAATTAACAGGTTGTTAAAAGAGTTGAGTGAATAACTACACGCTGCGTACCAGAAATTTTGCTGTTAGCGATTACTGAGATTAAACAAGACTACAAAAACGAACAAGAAAAAATACGAAGAACTTACATGAACTACGTGAGTAGATTGAAACTAACGCACTCTTGCCTGTGTTTTTAAAATCGCCTTTTAAAACAAACATAGAATATCAAAAGTGTTTTAAATTGATTAAAACAAAATTTTAATATTATGAATTAGAAACGAAATGCAAATTATTAAAAAAAAAATAATTAAAATTTAATAACATTATGATAATAGTTTTTTTACTTCCGCCTCGCTACATGCGTTGTTTGTTATAAAATAAACTCTGCTGCGTTATAATAGTTATAAAATAAACAGTATTTAAACCAATAAATTTAAACAACGCTCAAACCATTTTTTATTAAAACAATTTTAATTCCATTTAAATGACTCAAGCAGCTCGTTACCAGGGCCGTAGGAACAAATATCTCAAAAACTACGCATCACATGACAAAAATCTAATAGATGAAAGTTAGGGAATTAGAATGTTAACACAATGCACAACATAAGATTGCTGAAAATCAATCTTATTTTGGTCTACATTATACTATTTAAACGTTTACATTATATTATTTAAACGAATCATGCAACTATACCAGGGGTCGGCAACCAACCCCTGGTATAATTGCATGGTTCCTTCGATATCAAGATGCGATTTTTGTAAATCCATACACAAATAATAATATAATATTGAAATAAAAATGTTTAAAAACTTCAACTTTTAACGTTTTCAACGTTTGAAAACTCTTTAAAAACTGAGTTTTAAGAACTACCAATATCTTTATTTCAATTTCATATAGTTAATAGTTGTGCATGAAGCTAAAGAAACGCATCTCGACATCGAAAGAGTCACACGAGGCTTGCGAGCCCCAGTTTGCTGACTCTTGGTATAATAATTTAAATAATATAATGTAATTAAAACTTTTTAAATTGTAACTTTTGGAACTTCCGTCTCAAAAGGTTGTCGACCCCTGGTTTAAACAATGCATTTTTTATTATACTAGATACTGTTAGACTAGAAATTTACTGTAAAATTGAATCAGGTCTAAAGTTAAGGTGAGGAGGATTGGCACATTAAAGTGTTGTATTAACTTAAATGTGTAAAGTATATACATTTTTGTGAACCCTTTAATCTTTTTTTATTGTTGTTCGGAATAAGTCTTTGTAGTTATAAACGGGAAATCTGTTTCTAAAGTTGAGGTTTAATAATTTTTTCTTCTTCTCTTAATCAAAAAATAAAGCTACCAATAAAAACTATATAGGATATTCCTATATGAAACTGGAATATTCCATTGGACAAAAATACTGCAATATTAGGTCTTATTAGACTACATGGTGTATAGATCTTTTTTTGTATACTGTAGAATTATAAGATTTTGATAGGATTTATTACAGTATAACGATAATATAATTTCTGCATACATATACAAACGGCCGGGTGAATAATAAAAGGCAATCACTATTACTCAGAGTAATTGTTCAGCTTTTCGTGAGATAAATCACTCAAAAATTTATTCACGTAAAGTTAAGCTATTTACTCCAAAAACACTGAGTAATTGCTCAGCTTTATGTGAATAAAAATTTGAGAAAAAATGCGGAAGTTTTTTATTCACGCAAAGCTGAACAATTACTGAGTAAAAAGCAATTGCTTTTCTTATTCATCCGGCCTATTATAACTAAATGTAAGATCTAAATATAAATTTTATGATGCTGAATAAACTTTTTGCCGCCAGAATATAATAAAAATTTTTTTATGGCAAAATAATACAAAATTTAACTCAAACATTAAACTGAAAAAATATGAAAAGTTTATCTTATGAAGTATTTACAAATAAAACGATTCTCGTTATTATAAATAGTTTAAATTAATTCTACCAACAATATTTTAACGCAATAGTCGAAATACAATTTTAATAGGTTATTCTGTTTTTAATTGATTGGACGAGGTCTAATCAATTAGTGGTCTAAATATGTTTATAACTTTACAATGTGTAACATTTGCCAATACTAGTATTTAAATAAACTTGGCATAATTGTGGCTTTTAAAACTAATAACCAATTCTGGCCCTTTTTAAAACTTTAATGAGTTTCTTAAAAAAAGTATTAAGAATAGTTTAAGTTAATTTTAAATAGAAATTTAGTTTAAATAGAATTCTCAACACAGTAAAAACACGTACATAATTGTTAATTGGTTAACATTACATATAATATGTAAATGTATATATTATTTTAGAGAATCAATAATAGATACATAGGTAACAATACAAACATGCCATACATAGATAATCTAAACAATGCATACATACTTATGTCCACACATCCATCCATACATTATAAAGCAGTGCAGGACTATATTTTATATAATTATATAGTAATTATATTTTAAAACTCATTTAAAATTGCATATACATATATTTACATATATAAATACACACATACATACACATACATCTGTGCCTATATCCAGTGGCGTAGGAAAGTTTTTAAATTTTTGAAATAATCAACTTTTAAACAAAAAGAATATTCCAAATTTTTTTATGTTCATATGTATGACGAAAAGATTCTTCGCAAAAAAAAATTACTGTAATAGGAGAATGGGAACAAGAAACCCTATAATCTTAATCCCCCCCCTAAACATGAAGGCAATAAGTTAAATTATTTCTTTTTTCATAAATATAAACTAGTTATTTATTCATCGACAGATTTCAAATTTTTAGTTTGAATTATTCAGTGTTCAGTTTTTATGACCATGTAAAGTTTGTGCTCCCTCAAATTGAGGAGGAAGGGGGGTATTCTTTACAGGATTGTAAATCAAAGACCTATATAATGTTTTATACTTTTTATTAGCATATTCTATAAATAACAATCATATAAAATTTTAGAACAGTAGTTAATATTCTTGAAGAATCTAACAAAATAATTCCTTATTCTTATTTCATAGCAACAAAAATTTTATTTATACTGCAAAGATATTTCTATAAAAATTTAGAGCTAGATTTTACAGGATTTCATTGCGACTAAACATACTTTCTAAATATGGTGGACTAATCATTGTGACTAAAAATTCATTCTACCATTCTACATATGGATGGTTAAGCGCCAAACCTGCCTATACAACAAATATGTTAAAACGAGATAATTAGGCGCAAAGTTTAAAAGTCTTTAACAAAAGCCACTAAACCAAAAAAGTTAAAAGTATTTGCAGCTAAGTGACTTGAAAATTTTAATCATAGTATATGAGTATTAGCAAAAAAACATTACATAAATCTTTTTTTTACATAAACGAATTTTTTTCAACTTTGTTGTATAGGCAGGTTTAGGGCTATTTTTTTAAATTTTTTTTTTCTTTTTTAATTTTATCGAGCTGTGGATTTTTTACGTATTACTATTAAACCATCGTCACGATAAAGGCCTAAATCATTTATATTGATTAATATGGCTTCTTTCTACATATGGTGTACTACAAAAGTATAAAAATATATTCCTATAAGACTTTAAAACAGGAATTTTTTAGGATTCCTGTGGGTCCAAACCTTTAGGATGTTTCCGGCGTCTTATAAGATAGGACTCCAACAAAATTTTGGAACAGAATTTCGTATGATTTTCAAATCTAGTAGAATTCTTAAAAGATGTATTTAATATAACTATCCTATACAAAATCCTATTACGATTTCATATAAGGATATCCTATATAATTTTCATAGGATATCTTACAGGACTTTTTGACTATGGTAGAAGGTTTGGTATTCTTAAAAACAGTGTATACAGTTTAAAATACAGTATGAACAAAAATGGACAAGTCTAAATGGTACATCAAAACAAACATGAATGCAGTTAAAAAATGAATACTTTTTCAATCTGAGAAAATGTGCAATTAACACAATTTAATTATTTTACTAGACGACATTTCGTCTAACTTTTTTCCCCGTGTACCTTGGATCAGACGAAATAACTTTGGCTTTTGCCCAAATGCATTTAATAATCTACCAGAACAAATATATTCTAGCAGCTTTACTTTGATGTTATAAAAAAAACAAAAAAACAGTGGAACATTGCGTAGTTTTAAGGGAGTTTTTATTGTTTATTTTCTACCCATTAGCCCTTGTGTCGGCAAAAAAATGCCGACTTCGTTTTAATGTTTTATGGTATCACATTTTTTGTATCAAATATTTCTGGCTAACCTGATGCCGACCTCTTAAAGATTGAGGTAGACAAATTAATGCCGACCTTATTTTTCCTAAATCCGAGGTTTGAGTCTTTTAAAAAGATTTAAATTTTAAATTAGGTTTTACAGTTGCGTTATAATAATAAAAAAATATTATATTTTAGAGCGAGAAATAAATTTAAATTCTTTTATTCATGCATTTTCATTTAACTTTTTACAAAAGCATCACACAACTATTTGAAATTAAATTGAAAAGCAAAAAATTATTTGACAATGAAACATTACTGGCATACGTATGTATAATGAAATGGTGAAATTACGACGATTGAATTTTGTAATACAATGACAATAAAACACTAATTTTATTTCTGGTTTTTAATATGCATGCTTTTTTAAAATACATCACTTTCAATATTAACTATAATCAGCAAAACCATGCACGGAACCAAAATAAAAAAAAAAAAATTACATTTTTAACAAAATGTGCAGTAATGAATAAATATTAACACTCGTTTTTAAAAAAAGTAACCTTTAGAATAAAAATCTATAATCAGGTTCATTTGTCCGGTTTTCAGCTTTTTTTTTTTTTTAATACTCTAAACGAACAATGAAATTAATTTTATGACTCGAAACTAAATAAATTTTTATTTAATAAAACGTTAATCTTTTAGTCAATAACAATTAAATGCTGCAACTTGTCTTTTCAGGTTGAAAATTGTTATGCAATAACAACTCAGGCCTAACTGTTTCAAATTGTTATTAATTTTAGTAAACCCTTTCTGACATGTAAGCTGACACAAAATTTCAGTATCTAGTAGATGACATGTTCAAAAAACATGCCATCTACTAGATGACATGTTTTTGAACATGTCATCTACTAGATGACATGTATGGGGTCTTCTATAAATTACGTACACAGGTATGACGAGAAAGGGTTACCTAAAAAATGCGTAGATGCGTATAAATAGGGATGAACAGCGAGTGCGTACGCGTTTTGTCTATCTCTATCTCTTCTAAAACTTGATTTTTTATAAAACTAAATTTCAGGAGTTTAAAAAAACAATACTATGTTAAGTAGCATAGATTTGATTAACTACAAGTTTTAGTTTTAATGTTTGGAAAAATTTATGCATTTGGAAGGAGTTGAGTTTATAATAAATAATGCGTATGTACGCAGGGAAAGGGAGGGAGGGAAGAGGGTGAAGCTTTGAAAGCACAATACAGTTGCATACAGACTTAAGTGGTTTTACTGTGTACTTACTTTATGAATACCTTCTTAGCGAGAGATGTCAAATGTGTAAAAAGTTACTCAAGTAGCTAATTATGTTTGTGACAGGTTGTATGAAAAAAACAACAACATTGAAATTAATAAAATACATACAAAATAGAATTCTGACTAAATTTTGACACTTAAATAATAATATTATAAAACAATAGATTTTATAATATCAACGTTAAAATAATATAACAATAACAGTTATAATAATAGTTATAACTAATTTAAGTTAGAAGACAACACATAAAGAAGTTATATAGAACATAAATTAAAACAAAAATTAATATATTACAAAAAATAACAACCCGAATTATTCCTAATGTAGATATATATATATATATTTTTATTATTTATTTTTATTCAACCATATCAATAAAATTTACAAATTTCATCGTAAATTAATATAAATTGGTTAGGTGTCACTCATATAGTTACAAACTAGTCAATGGAGTGACACCTAAATAACATAAAAATTTCACGAAAAAATAAATAAGTAAATAAATAAAAAAAAAAAAAAAAAAAAAAAAAAAAAAAAAAAAAAAAAAAGGAAAAACTCAACATCTGTATATATAAATAAGAGAGAAAAGGAGAAAAGATTGTTAAACAAATAATAATGATATATATGATAATAATAATAGTAATAATACAAAAAAATAAAATATAAAATAATAATAATAAAGTACCAATAATATTAAGAATATTATAATACAATATAAATTGTATGTACAAATCATAGATGATAATTAGATATAATAATAACATAAAATGTAACATTAATAACACAATAATAAATAAATATAAGATAGGTAAATAATAAATAAGATAAAAATCAAACCACTTGTTCGTTAAAGAGATTATATATTGAAGACAACTGCAGTACAGAGAGAAATTATAAAGAAATACACTCCAACAATATATTTTTAAATTGAATTCTGTTGAGCAGTAAAAAATTCGTAACAAGTGGATAATTTCTCTTAGACTTTTTTATTAATGCAGAAATACACTGGTTCCATTGAGAAATACATTGTTGTTTTATGGAAAACTTACCATATTTGATTGTGTTGAAAAAAGAATAGTATAGCTTACTATTTAAAATTAAATTATATTATAAAATTATATAAAAATTATGTTCAACTTTTATATAGGTTATATATTTAAAAAAACATAAATTGAGTTAAAGTCTTTTAGAGATAAAATCCATATTTTTACGAGTTGCGTATGAATTTTTTACAAATCGAGTAAAGCCAACAACACAGGGGTACACAAAAAGTGTAGGCAAGTATTAAACAAAAAAGTTTGAGCAAGAAATCAAATGTTTGGCTTTCAGACAGATATTCAAAATTTATTGTTAACAACACAGGTTATTTAGTTCATTATTTTTTATTTTAAATGAAGTCAAATAAATAATAAAACTTGTTATTTATTTATATAACTAAAAGCAAATGCTTTAACTAAACAATGGCTTACCTTTTCTGATTCAGTCCCAAGGTTGTAAATATATATGTGTGTGTATATATATATATGTGTGTGTGTGCATGCGTGCGCGCGTGTGTGTGTGTATATATATATATATATATATATATATATATATATATATATATATATATATATATATATATATATATATATATATATATATTTTTTCACAAATAAATTAAAAAGTAAAACAAAAAAAACAAAAAAATTACGTTTAAATTGTTGATTCATGAATGTTAGACAGTAAATAAGTAAAAAATTTATATTTTTATATTTATATATGTACACAAATATAAATTCAATTGCAAACTTTTATCTCCTTCTAACTTGATTGTGCGATATATAATAGTCTGTTCTTCCCTTCAAGATCGTGGTTTCAAACTTTTCTTTTTCGTACTTATCATATAACATATTGCCTTCAGAATCATCATTGCTATAAAATTAACAAAATAATTATATATGTAGATAAATAATAAAAATATAGATAAATAAATATATTTATGTTTAAACATAAATAAAATAATTAAAAATTAAAAAAAAAATATTTATTAATTTTAATAGCAAAAACACAAGTTTTTGCAATTAGATATATTATCCAACTGAGTGTCTAAAGATGTTTTAATTGTGGAAAGAGTGTCCACTGGTGTTTTAATTGTGAAAAGAGTGTCCACTGGTGTTTTAATTATCTTTGAATTAAACTAAACAGTTATTTATCTTTCAAATATGTTTGTTTTATTTTTTCAGACATTTGAAAATAAAAATAAAAAATAGCAAAAATAAAATGAATGTTTTATGACAACTCTGATCAAATCTGCATTTCTTCAATAAGATAAAAGAATTTGTAATTAAAAAATCTATTTGATTTGTATAAAATTTCAGGGAAGTACATAATTATAGTTAAAATGCCGTCAGGGTAATCTATAATATAATAACATAGATAAAAACAAAATGTAAAAATACGAAAAATATGATACAAAAAATGGAAAAATGTCAAAACTTAAAAAATTGAGATAAATATCAGAAATGAGAGGTAAGGTAAGAATTTATCAAAGCTTAAAAATTATTTTGGAATAAGGTTTAAAAGTATTTAAAATTTAAAGACTTTTGACAAACATCAGATGATAGATTTTTAAATTTTATATAAATAAAAAACTTAAAAAATAAATTTATTAAACAGTCAACAAAATAGTTTATATTTAAAATGAAAGAAATTAAGAATTTGAAATCTTTTATTAATTCTTGACTCAATAAGAAAAAAAGCAATTGTTTCCCCTGACCACTTTGCGAAATTCCCTGACATTCCCTAACTTTCCCTTGTAAAAGACACTTTTACCACTGACTTTCCCTGACCGTATAAACCTTTATCATCTGCAAGAAGACATAAATCAAATTATATTGCCTAATGCTACAATTTAACATTATAAAGTTTTTTTTTTGTGTACTGGTAAATATGATGATGATGAACTAAAAAAATTTTAAAATATTTTAAAAATTTAAAAAAAAAAAAAAAAAAAAAATTGAAAAACCTGAGTTCATTGCAACACCATAGTACAAATAAAAACAAAATAAATGTTGCAGGAACAAGCATTAACATAAATGCAATATACCAAATCGATACCTGAAAGTAAAAAAACAAACATACAAAAACAGAAGGGCATTAGAAAAGCATTTGTGAAACTTTAAATCAAAAAAAATCGACACTTGAAAATGAAAAACATATAAGAAAAAAGTATTAAAAGAAAATTATTTAATAAACTTTAAACTCATAAAAAAATTTATTAAAAAAATACAATTGTTAAATTGAACTAAAAAACCTAAAAAGAAACATAAAAAAGTCATGGAAAGATAGTAAGCATGCTTATATATTGTTTACAAGTTTAAATCCAACAATCTTTTAAAGAACACCTTTAACTTCGTTATAATAAATCATTAATAATAATATAAATAATTAGTCTCATGCAGGAAAAATTATTTTAAAATGGATAATTTCATATGCATTTTGGATTATTGAAAAAAGAAAGAGTAAAACATATAACATACAAGATAACTAGACAAACAGTAAAACATACAAGCAAACTAGAAAGTTCTAAAATTAAAAAAAAAACAGTGATTCCAAGTTATAACAATTTACGTTTTAACATTGTATGAAAATTAACGTACATCTTCAAAATCAGCATAGAAATTGTTGCAATTTAGTGGAGCACAAAGAGACTTTGTTAGTGAATCTTAAATGAAAAATGAAAACAAAAAAATTTGCACAATATTTTCCGTTTGAATATAAATTTCACACAATAATATATCTTTATATCATTGTATTATTTTAATAAATATAATATAATATAAAAATAATATTTTTAGAATAGCTACTAATTTTATGCCTTAGTATTATCAAAACAAAATGGCAAAATGAATCTTTATGATGATCAAAATAATTAAAATTTCTTATATAGCTATAATATTCTTTTTATAACCTAACATATATGTTTTTTTTAACTTTTAATTTTAATTTCTCTAGTATTATATTTTTACAGACATTGTTACAAAATATATTCCAGCTTGAGTCTCATTTTTTAAATTATTCTGTGCATTTATATTTATACATAATTTTATGTAAATAACACCATATTTTCGTTTAAAAAAAAAAAAAAAACTTACCATAAACATAATGCTGCATCTCTGTTGGAAGACATGTGTAAATTATTTTCTATATAAAAACTTACACTTACAAAAAAATAATTATTGATATGCTAGTATTATTTAATAAATTCATTTATTTAAAAAACTATTTATCTAAAATATTTGAAGATATTTAAACATTTAAAAATATTACAAATATTTATTAAATATATGTGCTGAGTGCATGTGTACATATAAAAAATATAAAAAAAAACAAATTCAGCTTCATATATATATATATATATATATATATATATATATATATATATATATATATATATATATATATATATATATATATATATATATATATATATATATATATATATATATATATATCATGGCCTACTTAAATTACACGGCCTGATTTGTTGCATTTTCCGTAAAAAATTAAGAGGCCAGTTTTTTTTACGGCTTAAGTATAAAAACTTAAATTTTGTTATGGTTAAGAGTCTTGTTTGCACTATAATTGTATTATTTTTATTTTATTAAAATGGTTTAATATTAGTTAGATTTTCTTTGATTACTTAAATTATTTTGTGCTAGATTTTCTGTTAACTGATTGCCTGCTTCAGTTTATTCCAATAACAAAGAATACTGAAATAGGCTTTCAGATAGCTATATCAACACATATTAGCATGCTACTAAAAATAATCTCACATATTGCTAAAACTACCCACAACTCTCTATTGGAAATAATTTTAAAGGTTTGTAATTTTGTATTTATTATAATTGCAATTATTAAGTAGAAAACATAAACTTTTCTTTAAATTACTTACACTGCAAAACAAGGTTTTGCATTGTAAATACTTTATTGTGCTGCATGTCTCAAACATACAACAATTAAAATGTAACAAATCAGGCTATTTATTTACAGTAGCCAAGAAATATCAGGCATACCCACTGTTTTGGAGTCAATAGCTGTTAATAAAATTCTAATTTTTTTCATTGCCAAATAAATGGTTATCATTCTTTATTTAAATGGTTTCGCAGTGGTAAAAAATACAAATTGAAAAACTATAATATATTAGAAAAATCATTGACAAAAATTTGGTATTAAGAGATTATTTGCTTCTTGTGGGTAAGGTGTACTTCCAAAAAGCAGCCCAAAGTGGTAAACATTTTGATGAAGATTGAGAAAACAATTTTTATAAAGAATTTGTTTTTGTTATTATGATTGTAGGGCTTCAAAAATTTATTCTTATGTTTTGAAATCATAACCTAAAGTTTACATAACAGGTTTATGCTTGAAAAAAGAAATTGATGAGTGTATTACCTCAATGCACCAATCTGAATTTAAGATAAGAACTATTGTTACCGATAACCATTTTACAAATGTTAATGCATTTTTATAGTTTCATAAAGCATATACTGGAGATGGAAAATTATTAATTTATCATTTAGTTTAGAAAAGGAGTGTTTAAAAAATACTTGTTATTTGATAAACGCGGTTTTTGTTTTTTTCTTCTTGTTGAAGTTACAGCTGATTACATTGCAGGGAATATATTTCTTAAAGTTTATTAAAAGATCACTTATTAAACAAGCAAGAAAAAGCAAATCAGGTTGTGTAATTTAAGTAGGCCATGATATATATATATATATATATATATATATATATATATATATATATATATATATATATATATATATATATATATATATATATATATATATATATATATATATATATATATATATATATATATATATATATATATATATATATATTTAGCAGACAAAAAGTGTCCTATTTTTAAGCTAATTTTAGATTGCATGGGCGATGTGGGGCTTATTTTGAAAATCGTGCGGGGGGGGGGGGGGGGGGGGGAATTTTGCTACTTTTATAATAAAAATGCTTTAAGGTGCTTAATGGGGGGAGAGTTGATAATTTTTGGAAAACTTCTCCTCTCGCACCAAGCTTATTAATACCCAACCCCCAACCCCGTTTTGTTCATTTTCACTTGTTATAAACAAAAAACTATATCTCAAAACAAAAATTCAGTAAAAATTGGCTATAAAATTAAGCAAATATATGTTGGTAACCGAAAAATAATAAAACTTTCATTGTAAACCCTCCCCCTTTTTTTTATGATTTCCTCCTCCCATTTTATACATCCAGACTAAAATTCAGTAGCAAAACTCCCCCCCCCCCCCGTACGATTTTCAAATTGAGCCCCACATCGCCCATGCAACCTAAAATTAGCTTAAAAATAGGACACTTTTTGTCTGCTACCCGCCCCCCACATCCCGCCCCCCGCAGTTTCGCCACTGAGAGTAGTACTGACATTTACTTAAAACTAAAAACAGAGGTGTTCAATTTAATAAATTTTAGTTATAAAGAAGTATATTTAGAAATATATTTTTTGTCTTTACTTTTATTACGATTTAATTGATTAAATAATAAAACAAAATTTAACTTTATAGCCTCCTTTCCCCCCCTCCCCTTTTTATATAGATTTCTCCTAAGAAGTAAATTACCAGTGTTTTCATTGGTTGATTTTAAAGTGAACGCGCGTTTTTTCCGGAACGTTAGTAAGATGTTTAGAAATGCTAAACTGTTTATAAAAATATGTATTTCTAAAAGTTGCTTAGGTTTTTAACATTGTTTAAATATCCATTGTATTTTTTCTAGATGCATTACTACTTTAATTAAAGTTTGGAATTACTTAAATAAATCATTTTTATTTATAATAGCTTGTTTATGTGTTGTTTGATCAAACAATAAACTATAAATGTAACTTAAAAGAGTGTTATAAAAGTAACAACACTGTAGTGTTATTACTTTTGTAGTCATAAATTTATTGTTTTGTTTTTCATAACATTTTCACTAACAAATTAAAGTTTATTCGCCTATTCCGTAAATTTCGTGGTTTTCCATAAACTGAAACTTTGAAGACCAGATAATTTAACAGATATCGCAAATTGCGATGCCTTAATTCAACCCTTGTATGTATATATATATATATATATATATATATATATATATATATATATATATATATATATATATATATATATATATATACATATATATATATATATACATATATATATATATGTAAGCCCCCACAGTTTCCTATCTCAGTATGATGTTATCAATTATGATGTTATACATAAAATATAATATATATATAATATATATATATATATACATATATATATATATATATATATATATATATATATATATATATATATATATATATATATATATATATATATATATATATATATATATATATATATATATATATATATATACATTTTACTTTTGAAAGTTCATCAAGAAGTAGCTTAAAATGAAATAATGCAGGTAATGTAGTTAAAACTATAGAATCTTGTCAAAAATGTTTTTAGTTAGACTAGTGTTTTAATATTGCTCTGTTCTTTAAAAACATTGTATTTTATTAATCACTCTAATTATAGAATACACTAACATAATTTATACACACACACAAGACACTATATATATAAATACGCATGGCATAACATATAGACAGCTAATATTAATAAGAAATTTTATTATAATTTTAAATCCACTACCTCACACTTTCGCTGCAGTTTGCGAACATCTTTTTTATTGCACACATCAAAATCTAAAGGATTTACAGGATACATCTCATGAAGATCACAACGAAAAATATCACAGTAGTCAGATAAGCACACAAAATCTTTATTCTAGTTGAATAAAAAAAAATTATAACTAATTTTTATAAAAACCAAAAAACAAATAATATAAATATCAATCAAATATACTAGGGCCCTGCAAATCCGCAGTTTTTGTTTTGAATTGAATCTGGAATCAAAGCAGGTTTTGACTCGCAATTCAAATCACGTTTTAAATTGACATTTTGAAGTCTAAATTTAAGCATTTTTTATTTAATAATACATATTTCAAAATAAAATAAAATAAAAAAATTGTATTATCTCTTTATTGATACTTCTTGCCCTGGTTAACCTTTTTAATAACTGGTTAAAAAGGTATTTAAGGATAAGTAACGTTATTTCGATAGCGCCAAAGCGCAGAATATTTAAAATACCCACAACAAAAACAAAATAAGTAAGGATTCGATTTTTGATAATTTTCAAATCGAATCTCAAATAATTTTTTTGATCCGATTAGATTCGAAATTTCGTAGGGCCCTAATATATACATAGTGCTTAAGTAGTTATGAAAACTATTTAGGGTAGTTATCTAGTAAAACAATTCTGAGTTTTATTTAAAAAAACAAATTTATGTTATTAGTGCGGATTAAAAGACACATTTGTGCTTTTTTATTCCAATTTTTTTTAAATTTACATCCTTTAAAGACATGTATAAAGTTTTCCCTTGAGAATGCCCTTAGCAACAATGCTGTTTGGTTGTTTAGGGTGAAAAATTTTAACCAAACTTGATAATAAAAATTTTCCTAAGTAAGGAAAACCTTTAGGCAATACAGAAACATGGTTTTAACAAACACAAAGGAGGAGAGGATCTAAAATCTTTATTCTAAAAATATATTTTTTATTTTGTTAGTTTTCTGTTTGTGATTTTTCAAGTATTTTAGGAATTATGGGATATAATTTTGCAACTTTTTTAAATTCCTTAAATACATGGTGTTTTCTTTAAAAAAAAGGATTGTTCTTTCACATACTAATTTTATATATATTCTGCATTCTTACTGAAGTCCATGCAAAGCAAATGTATATTTGTTTTGCATGAACTTTGGCGAGAGACTCTTTATGCATACTTTTGTTGATTGAGCATTAAAAAAGTAAATAAAATACATAATATGTAAAATAATAATAATAATAATAAATATATATATATTAGGGCTGTACCGGATTTCGGCTCCTGCTCTGGCCGAAATCCGGCCATTTTTACAAATCCGGCCCAAATCCGGCTCTGGCAAAAATTTAGCAAATCCGGCATAATTTTAGCCGGAGTTTTGAATTTTGTCAAATATTTATTACATTTTTTTTGCCCGTGTTTACACGTATACCTAATATTTTATTTATAAAAATCAATTTTTTTTGTAATTCTATATTTTATGAACCTCATATTTGTTTTGGTATTTGTATTTATATTTCTTTATAATTTAATAAGTCTAATTTAAAACAACAACGCAACAAAAAATTCTGAAGGGAAGACATGATATTCTAGAATGATGCAGGTATAAAGACTATGATGTCAACCCTAATCAAGTGATTGGATGGGTGTTTTGAAAGCATTGAAAAGAGAAACTTCTTTATATACTGACAAGGCTGGTTGGCTCACAATTTAAAACTAAATACTTCTCATTACAGGCAGCACTGACAGCTGAAAAAACAAGATTGAAGTCAATCTGAGCATGCTGAACAGAAGATTGATAAAACTGAAGAAAATTCACCAAAATAAGCCGGGCTTAATAATTTTTTTACATCATCATCATCATTACTCTGGCAATTTATTGATAAAATTATTCAGTCTACGTCCGCTGGTGGCAGGGCACATAAACAACAATTACTAAAAGGCATTGAAACTCAGCTAAGGAAATATCCGAAAGAACCAGAAGTAAATAGACACAATGATCCACTACAGTGGCGGAGTGACAAAATCCCGGAAAAAAAGTTCAATAGAATTACTATAAACTTTTAAAACATATGGCCTATAGAATTTCTTTAGAATTTCTATTAATTTATACATAGAAATTGCTATAAAACTTTTTAAATAACAACAATGAAGTTTAACAGAAAACAGCAGTCAATTGGTATTCTGAATAGTCCACATTGTTGACCATGCTCAACACCAATTAGGGATGTACAGGATTTTGGCTCCTGTAGTTTTGTTTTGAAATCCGGCTCCGGCTCCGATTCCGGCCAGATCTGTCAGTAGAAATCCGGCAAATCCGGCTCCGGCCGGATTTGAAAAAATCCGGTACAGCCCTAACATATATATATATATTTTTGAAATACAAATATAACTTTTTTTAAGCTGAAAAAAAAAAAAAAATAACAATAATAAACTTAGCAACAAATTGTATTTTTGTTATTTTTTTTTACCAGAAAACTTAAACTATAATAATTTGTAGTTAACATAAATAACAAACAAAAATTAAATAAAAACCATATAAAAATATATACAAAATATAACAAAAATACATAAATTAAAAAAAATATATAAAATAAAAAAGTCTATTTATTGGAGATAATTTAACTAATATATAAATATTTAATAAAAAATGACATTACTTAAATTATTAAATGGAATTACTTGGTTTTTAATGATTACTGGATAAAAGTCTATTTAAAAGTTTACTCACAAATACATACACATTTTCATGTTTCCTGTCCATATGTTTGTAAAAATAATTTTCATTTTCAAACAACTTTCCACAAAACTCACACTTTATATGTCCACCTGACAACTCAGTTTTACCCATTTCTACTCCACGATAAATATTACGCTCTTGCAAAAAAATGCATCGACGGGGTATCTTAAGTTGATATTTTTCGTAAATAGGATATAAAGTCTAAACATTAAGGGTTAGTTAAGAGCTTTCTTTTAAATTTTGTACAACTTTTACAAAGAAACAAAACAGGTTCAAACATACCTGCGATAAAATATTACTAACTAATGCTGATCTTTGAAGAGAACAATTTCGCTTGAAGTCAATTCTGCTAGATTTACTCCACAGCATATTTCTCGGTGAAAAATTTCTCTTTTTAAAAAATTAATTTCGGAGATTTTGAAAAAGATAAAATGAAAACATAAAAAATTAAAATTAAAAAAATTTAATACCATCTTATTGCTTAATAAATACTTTTTTTAGATTATAGATTATAATAAAAATTTAATATAAAAATAGAAATTGTATTAAAATGTAATTAATTATTAATAATAATAAAGTGATAATAAAATAAAATGTTAAATAATAATTAATAAAATAAAATGTTAAAATAAAGTATATTAATTAAACATAAAATAAATAACACTGCTTAAAATAACATGAAAATAAATAACATGAAAAAAAACTGCAAGTAAAACATGGATTTCTGAAAGCTTATTAAAAAGAAAAAATTTTGATGTAATTCTTTTTTTTGTATCACGTCAAGTTTTTAGGAAAACCACATATTTGTGTTTACAAATTTTATACTTATCATAAGCGACTTACATCATCAGTTTATGTTTGAATACAAACATAAACTGAATACTTTCTTGCTGTTGTTTGTGTGTTTTAGATTTTAATTTCAAAAAAAGTTTCACAATGCCAAGACATTGTACAAATTCAGCAGACAGTTTTTGTTTTGTTTGTGGGCAATTTTGCACAGTGGCTGAGAACAAAATATCACATTTAAAAAAGAAATATTATAATGCATGCTTAAGATTAAACTGGAAGACTAGGATAAAGTATGGGTGCCACATGTTATTTGTAAATTTTGCGAAGTAACTCTTGGCAAGTGGTTTAAAGGTAAAGTGAAAAGTATGCCATTTGGCATACCCATGATTTGGCACGAGCCTTTGAATCATGTGACAGACTGCTATTTTTGCATGACGAATGTTGTTGGATTTAACAAAAAGAGCAGACACAAGATTCTATATCCCAATGTACCATCAGCCCTGAGGCCTGTAGAACACTCTGAAAACATTTCTGTGCCTGTTCCTTCTACTCAGCTGGATGATATTGAAAGTGATAACAGCTAAAGTTCTGAAGATAGTAGTGATGTTCCTTCTGAAGATAGTTCCTTCTGAACGTGATGTTCCTTCTTCCTTAGTAAAAACCTTTTACTAAAAAAGATCTCGATGATCTAGTTCAGGACCTTAAGCTTTAAAAGTCACCATCTGAACTGCTTGCATCTTGTTTACAAGAAGAAAAAACAAGTGTGTACTTATATTTTGTCAAGAATAACCATACTGGCTCTGGATTTCAATATTTGTCAGACAATTTTTCACATTTAAGTGAACTGCAGGTACCTATGTTGGACCACAGATCAGAGAAGTAATGAATGATAAGGAATTTTTATCTAAATTGGCCAAAGTTAAACTGGAAGCCTAGAATGCCTTTAAAGATATTGTAAACAATTTCTTAGGAAACTTTAAATCAGACAATTATAAATATCTTGTTGAGAACATGGTAGCCGAATTTCAGGCTTTGGGTTGCCACATGAGTGTCAAGTTGCACTTTTTGGACTCTTATGTTGACTACTTTTCTGAAAATCTTGTTGCATACAATGAAGAACAGGGTAAAAGGTTCGATTAGGACATTTGTGCAATTGAGAGTCAATACCAAGGTTGTTGAAATGTGAATAGGATGGCAGACTATTGCTGGTCATTAAAACACCATAATCTGGTGCTGCTCATAAGCAAAATCACTCAAAAGACAATTCACACAGTAGAAGACAATACATAAATGTATATCTGCTTTTATATTATGTTTTTGTTTTTAATTTTGTAAATAGTTTTCTGCATGACCAAAGTACATTTTGTTGCTGGTTTTATTGATTTTTTTCTACATTAACAAATGTTGAAAAAAGTCAATAAAATCCCGACGTGATACAAAAAATTGGTTTATATATTTGGAATCAGCATAAAATATTGTGTAAGAAACACCTATTTGCATATCAGCAAAATCACAAAATGAAAATTTGTAGACCAGTATAATAATGAATTAAAAATATAAGTAATAATAAAATATAATATATAATAACAAAAACTAAAAACGATAAAAATAATAACTTTAAATTTTTAATAAAAGTAAACTATATTTAAAATATTAAATATTGTTATATTTAATATTAAAATAACTAATCATCATTTATATTATATTATATTATACATCAAAATTTAAACTTTCTTTAACTTAGTGAATTAGGTTAAACCAATGAAGTGGTGAGGTTGTTTTTGTTAGATTTGAACAGTATTCAACTGGTTTAAAAGCAAATACAGAAAATATTTTTAAAAAATTTTTTATATTTACAAATAAGAATAATATTAAATAAATTGCTCTTTTTGATAATCCCAAAATCTCAAAACTTGTTTTAAAATATCTTTTGTTTGTATTATAAATTTAAACATTTTGGAATTAAAAATTCAAATTTATAAAAAATAATAAGAAAATGGACTTTTTTCAGAATTTTTTTTACCTTCTGTTATAATCACATAAAATACATAAATACTAATCAACCTACTATTTCCCAACCTGTAAAAGTCAATCAATATTATTTGAAATGATCAAATAAATCCTTTTATGGAAGATTAATAATGGATAATAAACTTAAGAGCACATTAGGTGTTTATAAAATCTTTTAATTTTGTTTAAGCCAAATTTTTGCAATATAACCAACCAACTTTACAGCACTAAAACATGATATGGTCACAACTTTAAAACATTTTTTTAACTTGAATTTAATAAATTTTTTTTATTTTTTATTTTATTTTTACATTTTTTTTTTTGGAAAAATCTTTCACAATTTTGTAAAAAAAAATTTTAATTTCAATAATTTAAATATTTTTTAAACAAAACAAGTTAGCATTAATAAAAAAATGTTTATTTTTTTTATGTTTATTTCAAACTTTTTTTAAATTTTCCATTATAAGTTTTCAGCGGTATAAAAAACGAGGTTTTCACTAAATCATCATATTATATAAGATAACTTTCAATAATTTAATATGAATATTAAATTATTATATATATATATATATATATATATATATATATATATATATATATATATATATATATATATACATATATATATATATATATATATATATATATATATATATATATATATATATATATATATATATATATATATATATATATATATATATATACACACATGTATATATATATCATGGCCTACTTTATAGAAGGCCTCGACACCGTGCGGGAATTTTTTTGACTGAAGGCCGATTTAAAAATAAAATGGCGGTTTATTAAAAGAGAAAAATGCTGTACAGCTTTGCTAACACTAATTATTTAATAACTAATTATTCTATTTGAAAAAATTTTAGATGCATTTTTATAAAATGAGTTTCTTGACGTTAATTTGGCAACTATTTTATAAGCTTAAATAGTTTGTAAAATTGAATAGAAACATTTTGAATCAAATTTTTGAATATACAAGAAATAATAAATAATCAGAAAAATACACCAATAACAAATCTAATTTTTTTTGTACTAAATCTTCCCAAAAAAAAATTACATGAGCTTGATTTCTTTTTGTTTTGCTTCTTTATTACTTTTGGGAGAGTGAAGTAATACAAAGTTCTTTAAAAAAATGTTTGCTAGTGTTTGGCATTGTTTCTTTGCAATAGAAAAACTATACAACTCTGCAATAAAAGCAAACTGTTTAATCAGAAATGTTCTGCAAACTTTTTTATCTAATAAAGAAAAAAATATGTAACAAAATAAAGACCACTGAGATAGAGTATCAGATGGAATAGTTAATCCTCCCCTATTTAAAGTATTCAAATAAGTTCCATATTTTTCATAATATGTGATTGTATCTTCACCAAATTCTTCAGTAGAACACTTTTGAACATAACCAGCAATATAGACAATAAAAAATTTCTATACTTATACTATCTTCTAGATCTGGTAAATTAAATTGTAAATTAAATCATTTTCCATATCATCTAAATCTTTAAGACATAAAAGACAGTCATGGCCATCATTTCCTTCTACTTTGATATTCAGATGTAGCACCAGCTTAGCATGTTGAATATGTACTTTTTCGATAACTGATTTACCAGTTATAAAGTAAGTACCACCAAAACCTTGCCATAGTTTTCCGAAACATTTCTCAATTGGATCACTTGAAAACCAACCTAAAATAACATACTCATTTCCACTTGATAAAAGATGACAAGACAAATCAATTAGTCCACGACAAGTGTGTGAAAGTGCATTGCTTGTATCTCTCGTAAGCTGGCGAATTCGTTTACCAGATGTTGGTTTCATATATTCTGCGATTGTTGCAATAGCAAGTAACTTTTTTAAATTAATGTCATCTGAAGATCTGATTACATTACGTGACTCATCCCTAAATCTAGCATTGGCACCTGGGTATTTAACATTCACTATTTTCCAAAATTCTATAATCAACTCCAAAAAAAAAATAGTACCCTTGACACTTTCTTGGTCTATTTTAGGATGAGTTTTTAGAGCTGCAACTGTCTCTTCACTAAATACTTGTAAACAAGTGCTTACTTTTTGCCGTTCTATTGGTTTAGGATTTATTGATGTTTCAGTCAATCTGGATAACTTTATTAATTGGTTTTTTTCAAGTGTATATAAGTTAACTAAATCTCTCCAATTTGCAATGTAAGTTATCTCATTTTGAGTAAACTGTAACTGACCTAGTTTTTCTGTCAGCCAATTGTTTTTTATGCACTTTAAAAGATGGACATAGTCATATAAAATATAAGAGCCATTTTGACATAACCAAGGTTTTCCGTCTACGGTTTTGAATTTAGAAAAAAAGCTTTGATTAACTTTATTTCCATCTGTAATAATTGCAATAACTTTACCATTACTCATAGAACTTTCTATGGTGTCTACAATTAATTTGCACTGTTCTTGTTGGAAATCTGATGTCAGATTACTAACTGGTAAAACTCTTGCTAGAAATTCAGGTCCACCATAAAGGCTTTTTACCATGAATGAAAGTACAGTAGTAGCTAAATTCTCTGGATTATTAATAGCTTTTCCAAAAATACTTC